CATCTAGTCACTTCCCTAAATAAAGGACCTTTAACCATCAGCTCAGTAATACCAGGGCTGGATTACGCAACGACCACTTAAAATTAGCAAGCTGCCTCTCATGCCATTTTTAAAATTTTTAATGGAAAAGGAAGATAAACATTACTCTAATGAATTTAATAAAAGTCAGGATAGGTGAGGGAGACACTTGGTAAGGATGGGTGAGGATTTCTTTTTATTTTATTGGTTGATAAGGATTCACTAACAATTCTGAGTATCTTCGTATAAGGAGTGAAAAGAATTTTAGATTTTTAAAAAAACAAATCTAACATGGGAAAAACCAAAATGGGACCAATTTATCCCCCCTGGTGCAGGGCTTTGAGTGCTCCACTCTTCAAAGTCTGTGGTTAGGCCCTATGTAGTCATAGGATCACCACCTCCTTTTGTGAGAGAGACCTCTCTCCTCTTTAACACCTATTAGGGCAGCCAGGCAGAGTGTGTCTTCTCCATAGTGGGAACAACTGCACCTGTTGAGTTTGGTTGGCATGCATTGGAGATGATTATGTTTTAGTTTGATTTTGGAAAACAAATTGCCTATTTCGGATGGAAAGAACTCGAGACTTTAAAAAAATCCGAGTGCAGAGAAAGTGAATCTGACAGATTTTCCGTCAGTATGGAGGCAACTATTCTTTCCTCCCCACATTACACTAGAAGAATGCACGCAGGAATGTGTCCTGCTAAGTGAGCTTCCCAGACATACTGTATCTGACTGGCTTCTGAATGGCCTGAGTGCTGGAGCAGATAATTTTTTTGTTTTGTTTCAGCCAACATGGCTCCTTTCTTTCTCAGTTTATACGTAGAGAATGCAATTCCACCTTGCCTAGGCTGTTTCTCACATGGCTATGTAGATGGTTTCCCCAGTTTGTGCAGTGGACATCCGTAGCCCTTTCTTACGGAGGAGTATCAATGCAGAGGTCAGCAACTTCAGGCTCTCCAGATGTTGCTGGAATATAGCTCCTATCACCCCAGCCAGCATGTGAAGGATAGTGGGGATTGCTGTCCAAAACATCTGGATAGCCATAATTTTGCCTCTCTTGAAGTGAAGTGCAGGGGCAACTTTGGAACTTGGATTTCAGGAATCAAACTTAACACAAGATATTTCAAACTCACACTTGTATGGGCCCCTCTCAGGTGTAACAATCCTGGCTTATAAGACTATAGTTTCGCAAACTAGGAATTACGGTAATACCAAGTCTAGCTGCTACCTTAATGCCCTTTCTGAACCTTCTATCCTTCATGTGCTGCCTTTAATGTGCTAGCTATTTTATCATCAACATTCACTCAGAATGCCAACATACATTCAAACCATGGTTTAAAATCCTGGTCAGTAAGAAAAAAAGGAAGCTGCAGCTGGCTTATGACAGATGTAACAAGAAGTCTTGTTAAAGCTAGCACAGGTTGACATGGAAAGTGAGCACATGAAGGAAGGAGGGGAGGGTACAAGGCAGAACAAAGTGTGTGGCTCCAGTGCTTGGCCAAACTATGGCATGTTGGAAAAAGTGAGTCCAAGCCAGGCCGCCAACAGCTTTTACACTCTGTTTTGACCAGGCACTCTTGTATCTGTAGTCTGGCAGATGCTCTTTATTTGCTTTGGGTCCACAGTTCAGGGACCACAGCTCAGGAAGTGGCAGGGGCCAGGTGCAATCCCTAGTGGCTCTTGTATGACAAAGGATTGGGCAACAGGGTTTGGAAACTCAAAAAGAGCCTTTCCTATGTGCTGTAGTTCAGAAATGGCAAACCTTGGTTTGTCCAGCTGTTTTGCAGTAAAATTTCCAGAATTCCTTACCATTGGCAAAGGCTTCTGGGACTTAACGTTTTAAAAAAATCCTGAACACAGCTTATTCCAGTTATATTATCTGTAACATTTTGTTTTTTAAAGGGGGCGTGGCACCTGTCAAAATTGAGTTTGAATAAAGCTACCACTATCCTACTACTTGCGTGTGCGTGCGTGTGCGCGCACGCTCAATGGGCACAAATTAGAGTCTTAAACCTATTTGGATCCCCCCATGGATGTATTTAAAGTGCATTTCAATAACGATAATAATGAAAGAGGAACTAAAAGAGAATAGATCACCAACAATCTTTAAATAAGGACCTTAACTAATTACCTGTATTTTAAAAAAAGATCTAATGAGTAGCCAATTTGTTTAAAAAATATGGAGAGGCAATGTTTTCCTCCTCCTAGCCCAGACAATACTGAGCTGGACTGATAAATAGTGGTATAATCCTGCTTCCTTTGATATCAGGCACCAACTGATCCTTATTGTTCTCTCACTTATTACCACCTAGCACCCTTTCCTTTTTAAATTTATTACTTATATTTATATCTCATCTTTCCTCCAAAGAAAGGAGCTCAAAGTGGTACAGTATACATTTCCTCCACTTTCTCTTCACAATGACTCCGTGAGGCAAGATATGACAATGTCACTTAGTCACCCAGTGAGTCAGGTGGCACGAGAACCTGGATCTCCTAAGTCCATCTCTAACCACTACACTAGAATGGATCTCTTCATAGCGCCCTCAAACCAAAATATATATTCAGGAATCCATCACCCAGGCCCAATCCTTGAAATGGTCAGCAACAATGGAGAGACATAAAACATGCTTCTAGTGAGAGAGCCCAGGTTATTGCCCCTTGACTTGGCTACCAAGTCAATGAGAGAGAGAGAGAGAGAGAGAGAGAGAGAGCGCACAGTTCTCAACCTTGGGTCCCCAAATGTTCTTGGACTAAAACTCCCAGAAACCTTCACCAATGATTGTGCTGTTCAGGATTTCTGGGAGTTGTAGTCCAAGAACATCTGGGGACCCAAGTTTGAGAAACACTGTAGCAAAAAGGCAGAGAGAGTGGCTGAGTACATAGTTAGCCATGGTGGCAGAAATAACTTGGCATGATCAATGAATGATACGATACAGGCAAGCACAGCACTAGACTAGGATACGTTTGGTTTTAGACTAAAACAAAGTAAATTTAAAAAATCACTCCCCAATAAATGATTCCCATCTTTGGAAGCAAAGCAGTTATTACTGCATTAAGTTTCAGTTGCAGATGTTTAAAAAGTAGCATTTTTTAGGTTTGGGGCATTTGTTGCAGGGTTAAGGACACCAAGTGCAACCATGCATAAGCAGCAGAAGCTGCAGACCCTGTGCCTTGTCAACCTGCGTTGCTAACCCCCTGGCTGCTCAACTGAACTGGTCAGGGCTTCAGAACTGCAGATCCAAAACCACAACTGGCCTGATCAGACACTAGACTCAACAAACTCATGATCGATGCAAGGCCCTTTTCTGCATACCTGCATAATAGGGTCTGCTAGAAGAGGCTGCGTTTTGTTCCCTTGCATTACCAGATTAAATTCACAATTTGTCAACTTTCATGGTACAGGCATTAATTTGGAATTATTTGCTGGGGAATCTGGATGCTTCACATCTGACCTGTATGTTTATCTTTCAGTATTGATCAGATTCTGCGTATTTTATTGCTTGTCACCATGAGGTTGAGACAGATACAGAGGGAGAACACCTTGTGTTTTTCTCATTGGGTTTCCTAGGGAAATGGGCCCTTGCGTAGGTCTCCTCCCATGAAAAAGACCACTTGTTCTTCCTACCTGCCGATGTTTTCCAGTTTTCGGAGTGCATTTTTCCAACCCTTGCTGGCAAAGCAGTTCCAATGAAGATGGAAGAAGCAGACAGATAGCCTGCTATAAGGTTACATATATAGATGATGATGTCATGTTGGCAGCCCAGAAAGAAGTGCCACAGAAGTGTTTCAGGCTGGGTGTGTAAAGCATGTAAGAACTGGAAAGTGTTAAAAATAACTTAAACGGTTATTGTATGATGAACCTGAAGGAGAAATCACCCATTTGGTAAGGTCTTGAGGAGGTATGTGCTTTTCATTTGAGTAATAGGTATCTCATGGGTCCAGCTAGTTCCCAGTTTTAATTTCTTTTGTGCGGGTCTGTGACCTGGGGAGCACAACGACACAGCAAGGGTGGGCCTGAAGACCAACATCCTGTCCCAGACCATGCAAAACGTCCAAGCTGCCCCGTGAAACCGAAGCGGCCCCAAAGACCACTTCCACTTGGGGGTTATTGAACGGTGCAGGAAGCTTCCTATAAGGGATTTAAGAAGTGAACTGCGAACAGCAATTCATTTGTTTTGATGGAAAAAACATGAGGTCAGAGGAGAGCTGGAGGGCAGGAAAGCTACGTTGGCGGGAAGCACTTCGCCTCTCTCCCCCGTCCTACACAGCAGACTCTCCATTTTCTTGCATTGCCTCTTCTGATCCAGTATTTTTATTTATATTTTGTAGAGGGTCGCAACCATACCTCTACTGGGCGGCTGTTCAAAAGCGATGTTCATCTGGCTTATCTTCACAGATCCACACTAGATAATTTTACTACTACTGGGTCCAAGAAAACGCTGATTTTGTAATAGATAGGTTTTAGGTTTATCCGGCGGCTTTATCAATGATCTTATCTCCGTAGGCAGCTGGACGGTCCTAGCAACACTGTTTTTTATGGTGGGAGGTTGGGGGGGAGCGGAGACCTTGCCTACAGTCCTCAAAGCCCAAGCTTCGGATTGCTTGGCTCTATACTTTCTTCCGGCGGCGGCGGCGGCGCTGCCTTTCGGGAGAAAAGCAGCCGCCCTGCGAGTCCGCCAGGCAGCCCCCAAAGAGGCGTGGCCGCCCCTGCCCTTCTTTTCCCTCCGGCGGCTGGAATGTTTGTTAGGTAAACACCGCATAGTAGAGTTTTTAGCCACGCCCCACCCTCGTCGCCGGGCCAATGGCGGAGCCGGAGCGGTTTCAAGGCTACTCGCGGTGTGGAGGGAGAGCGAGCGAGCGAGCGACCCGCCGGACTGCTCGCGGGGAATAAGGCAGGCGATCGAACGTTGC